TATTGCTTTCTTCTAGGTCAGCTGATTACATTTATATAGCTTTGTTTATATTGAGGTATGGTGTCTTGTAGCCCAGGCTGGCCTCAACAGTTATGTAAGAACTATGGAAATAACCTTGACTCCCTACCTGTAGAGGATTGCAGTTTTGGGCTGGGCGTGATGGCGCACACCTTTAATCCTAATGTTTGAGGCAGAGGCAGGCAGATCTGTGTGAGTTCTAGGCCAGCCTGGTCTACAGGTCTACATAATGAGTTCCTGGACAGGCAGACCCTGCATAGTGAGACCCTGTCTCAAAAAAAAAAAAAAAAAAAAAAAAAAAGACACTGTCATTTGTGGTGCATTCCTTTAGGCAAGTGGGTCTCTGGGAGTTCGATGCCAGTCTGGTCTACAGAGCAAGTTCTAGGACAGCCAGAACTGTTACTCAGGAAACCCCATCTTGAAAAAGCAAACAAAAATAAAGGGGGGTGCTTTTGTGTAGAATGAGGAGGTAGCTTAATTATTTGCAAAGAACTGAAGAACTGAGTTGTATCACTAGAGCCTAGACATGGTAGCAGGTTCAGATGGGCTGTCCCTGGGGCTCTCTGGCAGCTAGCCTAGCCTACATCCTAAGCCTCAGGCTGGTGAGACTCTCTCTCAAAAACTAAGTTGGGGTATTGCTAAGAGACAATATTCAAGGTCACCCTCTGACCTCAGGAGTCCATACACAGGCATGTATACCCATATACACATGAATATGAACTTATCCAGCCACACACACAGGTCTGGGGATGTAATGTAATGATAAAGGGTTTACACTGACACAAAGCTCTGAAATTGATCACGAGCACCACAAAAAAACAGTTTAAAGTGAGGTATGCTGTTGCCTGCTCAGATCCCTGCTTACTGGGATTATGGCTCCTTTGGTAAAGTAGTTTCCTGGCACAAATAAAACCTTGGGTTTCATGTGCAGTGAACACTGTACAAGCCCAGTTTGGTGGTGTATATATGTAGAGGTAGAGGCAGGATGATCAGGCCTCACAGCCATCCTGGCTACATAGACTTCTAGGCCACTCTGGGGCACATCAACTCCTCAGCTCTTTACTCACCCTTTTTGTTAATCCCTGGAGGCCCCAGCATTGTCCAGGACTTGGTGCACTAGGAAGGCATTCTTTGCTGGTAAAGACAAGAGTTGCAAGTGTGATGGTGTGCCCCTGGGGCAAGAAGGCTGTGTAGAAAGGTGATCTGCTGCCCTGTCCCCACAGTGTACAAGGCGGATGTGGCACGTCTGGTGTCCTGGCCAGATCCCACAGCAGATTGGAAATCTGTGGTCATTCTGGTGCCTGTACGACTAGGTGGTGAGACTCTTAACCCTGTGTATGTGCCCTGTGTGAAGGTAAGTGCCTCCTGGGGGGCTCTCCACACTTAACAGTTGGGAGTCAACCATAGGTGTCATTCTTTAGACCTGTGTGTACACAGGCATGTGTTCTCATGTTCTTTATGCCTGTGTGAATGTTTGTGGTGACAGAAGTAAGGGAAGACTCAGGTACCTATTCTGTCACTATGCTTTATTCTTTTGTGACAGGTTTTCTCACTAGCCTTGGATCTGGGGTGGCAGCCAGCAGTCCACAGTGATACCCCATTTCTGCCCCACAGTACTGGGTCAAAGGCATGTGTGGCTATGCCCAGCTTTTTGTGTTTAGTCAGCAAGTGCTCTTATCATTTGAGCCATCTCCCCAGCCCCTACCCACCTTGTTTTATGAGACAATTATAGTCACATGCTACCTTGCTTATTGACATAGATTCTGGAGATTGAATGCATGTCCTCATACTCAGCATTACCCACGAAGGACACAGCTGCAACAGGTCCATGCACTGTCCTGGGGGCTGGGGTTCAAACAGGGAAATGAGCCAAAACTCTGAGAATGTTGGGTAGAGTAGACACTCTGAGAACAAGCTGGATTGTTCTGGAAGACTGGGGAAGGAGCTCCAGGTGGAGCTCTATGCTAGGTTGCACACTCACACTTGAGTTTTAATCCCCAGCACTTAAATGAACATTCTTACTAAAAACAGACCTAGAGTCAGGGGTGGTGGTGATGCATGCTTTAATCTCAGCATTTAAGAGGCAGAGGCAGTAGGTTTCTGTGAATTAGAGTCAGCCTGGTCTACAAAGTGAGTTCCAGGACAGTGAAAGCTGTTAAACTGAGAAACCCTATCTCTAAAAATCAAAACAAGCATGGGAAAAATAAACAAACCACTAGACCTGTCTTGCCATCCAAGCACTTGAAAAGTTGAGGCAGGAGGATCTAGACTCCAAGGGCAGATTCAGTTACATGGGAAGTTCAATACCAGCCTGAGCTCTGAGGCCTCATCAACAAAAGTTTGACACTTGAGCTGGGTGGTGTTGGCACATGCCTTTAATCCTGGCACTCAGGAGGCAGAGACAGGTGAATCTGAGTGAGTTCCAGGCCAGCCTGGTCTACAAAGTGAGTTCCAGGACAGCCAAGGCACACAGAAGAAAAATAAGTTTGGTACTTCAACTTGGACTTTAAAGGGAGGGGGTGATTGCAGAGGAGCCAGAGGAAAGCCCCTCCTTGGCCTTCTAGAAGTCAGTTGAGGAGGTGTCTCAGGGAAAGGGTACAGCATGACAGGCTCAGCGGAAAGCCGCTGGCATGTTTTCACTCAGATGGAAAACTTCCCATAAGATGAAAACACTATTATGCTATTATGTCATCTGTCACCTTACCCCTCGCCTCCCCTCCCCCAGCCCCATCTACAATGGCTAATATAGTGTTTGAAGAACATTCCCACTCAGACCACTTTTTTCAGTGTGTGCAAGGCCAGGCAGGCTTCCATCCCCAGCACCAAAATAAACCAAGAAAACAGTGCGGTGGCACACTCCTGTAAGCTTGGAGGCTGTGGAAGGAAAATGTAGTGCTGAAGGCCAGTCTGAGCTACATAGGGAGACTAACTCCTCTTGGTACGCTCCTGGCACTATAGCTGGTATCTGGGAGGTAGTGGATACAGGAGGATCAGTTTAAGGCAAACCTTGGCTATAATGAGAGTCTATCTTAAAAAAAAAAAAAAAAAGTGGCAGGCATAGTAGCACATGCCTTTAATCTCAATATTTGGGAGGTAGGGTTAGGCAGGGCTCTGAGTTCAAGGTCAGCCTGGGTACATAGTGAGATCCTATTTTGGAAAAAACAAGGTAAAATGTGGTTAGAGCAGTAGTTCTCAACCTGTGAGTCTTGACCCCTTTGGGGGTTCACATAGGGGTTGCCTAAGGTCATGGGAAAATGCAGATATTTACATAATTCATAGCAGTAGCAAAATTATGGTTATGAAGCAGCAATGAAAATAATTTTATGGTTGGGGTCACCCAACATGAGGAATTGTAAAGGGTTTCAGCATTAGGAAGGTTGAGACCCACTGGGTTAGAGATGCTCAGTGGATAGAAGGGAACACTGCTCTCAGGAAGAACCCGAATTTAATTCATAACACACATGGGCTGCTCACAACTGCCTAGAAACCCCAAGGATCTGATACCCTCCATTTCATACACACATGGGCTGCTCACAACTGCCTATAAAACCCCAAGGGGTCTGATACCATTTCATACACTGTACTCAGGTACAGGCCACACACGCACACACATACACACACAGATAGGCATCTGATACCTTCATTTTCACACACTGTACTCAGGTACAGGTCACACACACAACACACACACACACATATAGGCATCTGATACCTTCATTTTCACACACTGTACTCAGGTACATGTCCGCCCCCCCCCCCCCACACACACACAGAGATGGGCTCTCCCTTTAATTCCAGCACTTGGGAGGCAGAGGCAGGTAGATATCTTGAGTTTGAGGCCAGCCTGGTCTACACAGTGAGAAATTAAATTAAAAAGATACATAGCCATTTCTATAGTTCCTACATCTAACAGCTAAGTTACTGCTGTAGAATGTCAGTGCCAGCAGGTTGGGTTGGTTAGCATGACAGCTGTTCATTGGATTCCCTGGCTTCACAGACCCTCAGACCTGATCAGTTTGCTAAGCCCATCTGATACCAGCTTCCACCTCTGTACAGGAGCTCCTTCGATCAGAACTCTGCCTGGGCATCATGGGGGGCAAACCCCGGCATTCACTGTACTTCATTGGCTACCAGGGTAAGCTCCAGCCCCTTTCTTGGGTCAGAGCCCTCCACCTTCTTACCCTCCCTAGTTTACAGCTGCCCCCAAACCTCCCACAGATGACTTTCTGCTCTACTTGGATCCCCACTACTGCCAGCCCACAGTGGACGTCAGCCAGACCGACTTCCCCCTTGAGGTGAGCTGGTGGCTTTGGGATGGGAGCTGCAGGCACAGGCATAAACTTGGGGTGCCTCAAACATCTCTTATCTGCCCAGTCATTTCACTGCACCTCACCCCGCAAGATGGCCTTTGCCAAGATGGACCCCAGCTGTACTGTAGGGTTCTACGCTGGGAACAGGAAGGAATTTGAGACTCTCTGCTCGGAACTGATGAGGGTGAGCTATAATCATGGGGCTATGTTTTAGTGGTAGAGTCCCTGCCTACCATGTGCTAGACAGACACTGGGTCCCACCAATTGTCCTGGAACAGCAACACACTACCCATGCCTGACAATGGAAGGGGACATCAAGGTGGACTTCAGTCAAGATTATTTTGTTTACCAGCCCAGATAAGAGCAAAATGAAGGGTGGGAGGGCTGCCCGGGAGCTCATTACAAGCTCCAGAGCAGCTGTTCACAGGCTGGACAGTTAGTTGTATGCTGTCCAACTGCAGCTGGTTCCAGAAGACCCTGAACTGAAACCACTCTTCCCATCCTTCTGCAGATCCTCAGCTCCTCCTCAGCTACAGAGCGATACCCCATGTTCACTGTGGCTGAGGGCCACGCTCAGGACCACAGCCTGGATGCCCTCTGCACCGAGCTCTCCCAGCCCACACTACTGCTGCCTCGCACAGGACGCCTCCTGAAGTCAAAACAGCCTAGCTCTGAGGACTTTGTGTTTTTATAGTGGGAAGGGATGGGGAAAGATGCCAGACTATTTATTTTTTTATTTATGTCACGTCAGGTATGGGATATGGAACTCTTGATGGCAGTGCTGGGTCCCCTGTCATCATGTCCCCCATCTTCCCCAGCTTGGGGCCATGTCCTTTAGCTGCCCCCATCCCCCCTCAGAAGCCTGGGATGGAAAATGGGCTCTAGGGCACTCACTCAGGGCCTGACTCAAGTTCTGTAGCTTGCACTGGATTGTTGTGGTCCCCAGGTCCCAAAGCCCCTGTCCTGGGAGAACTGACTGCTGCTGGGTGGAGGCTGATAAAGACACAGACTTGAACATACTGGAGTTGCCTGACTCCCCAGGCTGTTCTACACAGCTCTGACAGCCTGTTTCCACAAGGAGAAGGGACAGCCCGCACCCTTATCTGTAGGCAGATTACACAGGTTGGGGGAGGTAGCCTGGCTTCCAGTGGCCCTCAAGGGTGGCTCTGCTGTTTCCCCCTTCGGCGACCCAACTGGCGGAAGTGCAGCCTTTTGGGGTTGAGACCAAAGGCCTGCAATCTCTGTCGGTTGAACTTGTGACCTCCAAGGGTAACTGTGGGACCCAACAGTCTGGCCTTCTTGTTCTTTTGCCTCTGGGAAGTTGTCTTCTCTGGGCAGGATGTGTGTGCCAACTCTTCTTCCTTGGCCACATGGGTCTCAGCCTGGGGCCTCTTCCCATAGGCTCCATCAGGCATGGGCAGCTGTGCCTGTGGGCTGGCCTTGCCCTGTGACTTCCCTGTGGCTTCTGTGGGCATTTCCATGCTACAGGAGAAAAAGTCAAAGTTCAGGTCAGCTTGCTGTTCAGAACATACAATAAACCCTCTCTCCCATTTTTCTTTGAGGGTCTTGTATAGCCCAGGCTAGTCACAAATTGTGTGGTCTCTAATACAGCTGTCGCTGTCCCAGAACTCACTGTAGACAACATTGGCCTTGAACTCAGATACATCTGGTTTATACAATCAATGCTGGGACAGAGCCTAGGGCTTCATGGATATCAGTAAGCACCCTGCCCCAGCCCATTTTTTGTTATGATATAATATAGTCTCACTATGAAACCCCCGATGGTCTCAGCTTCCTGAGATAACTGGCATAATATGACAGCTACATATTAGCTGAGCCAGCTGAACCCACTCATGCCAGTCAGCTCTTTGTAACTTGAGTGCAGTTAAGAGGATCAGTCTCAACTTGAGTCTGGGAAGGAATGACAGTGACCTTGTAACAGCTGCCTGTCTCCCTAGTGCTTGGATAACAGGTGTGTGCCACCATGCCCAGGTCCCTTGATCCCTATTCTGTTTCATGCATGGACTTGAATTCACCTTACTGAGAGGGACAGTGACTGGCCTAAAGATGACACAACTGGGTGTCAACTAGCTGGGCCAGTGCCACCCTCCCCAGGGCCCGGTGCTTACTCTTCCTGGCACAGGGATTTGAAGATCTGCCTCTTCTTCCATAAGTTCTGGGCCTTCTGGCTGTACACCTGCTTCTCCTGCATCTCTTCCTGCTCTGACCTGTGTGTCAGAGGTGTTCCAGCTGCTGTCCAAACTGGCTCCCCCAAACCCATCCCCCTGCTATCACCTGTACATGCAGGTCTTCTTCAGGGAACACCAGCGGTTCAGCTCCTTGTCATCAGCTGCAAGGATCTACATGGGAAAGAAGCCTCAGCAGGGATGTCAACAGAGTTGGGGACAACTGAGTTCAGTGTTAACCTGTTTTTGAGGCAGGGTCTTTTGTGTAGCTCAAACTAACTTTGGATATTCTCATGCTTGTACCACCATGCTGGCTCTTTTTTTTTTTTTTTTTTTTTTTTTTAAGTCAGACTAGCTTGTAATTTATAGTAATGCCCTACCCACCCCAGCCTCTCTAGTGCCAGCCTGCATCAGCACTACTTCAACTCTTCCTAGTTGAAATCCAGGCCTTCTTGCCTCTCCAGAGAATGTTCACCACCTCCCATTCTCTGTGCTCCTCTACCCTCCCTGCCTGCCCTGGTCCTAACCTCCTCGGTGCTGAGCCCGAAGTCACAAGGCACCACAGTACGGTACTTGAAACGACAGGGCAGGTCATCGATGATGTCCTCATAGTCCAGCCGGTAGTATTCATCCAGGTACTCCTCAAAAGTCCTGTCCTCTGCACAGGAGATATAGCCAGGGGTATTGTGTGTTTAAGGCCCTGTGAGCCATACTTCCACACTGCCCATCATGCCTTGTGCCTCACCAGGGTCAAATGTGGGTTTCTGCTGCCCCACTGCAGCTGCAAAGGGAGACTTGCGCTTCTTTTTCCCTGAGGAGGGGGCCTCACGAAGCTTCTTCCGAGGTTGGCTGGGGTCATAGTCAGCATCCATCTATCAGGAAGTGCTGGTCAGATAAGGCCAGTGCTAAATGCCCTCTGGAGGCTCCAGACCCAGACAAGGGACACTCATTGTTCTTACGGTTGCACAGCCCTTGTTGGCCTCAAACACACTGTGCAGCCAAGCCTGAGCTCCACCTCTGTGATGCTGGGATGGAGCACAGGGCTTTGCTTCTGCTCTGCCTACTGCACACTACTTGGAGCTCAGACCAGTGGCACTCACGTTAAAGTCAGGGTCCTCACAGTGTAGCCCCTGCTGCTGGCTCCAGGTTCCATCTTGCTCAGGTCCACTCCATGTATCCCAATTCCAGTCATCTGGTTCCACAGAGAGCAGACAAAGTGAGGACACCATGTGGGCTATACACCAGAGCCCTGGCCCCCCAGCTTTCTAAGGACAAGCACCTTCAAGCCCTTCTTCTTCCTCAAAGTGTGGCTTCTCTTCCTCCGCAGTGCCATAGAAGCCATCTCCAAGGCATTTCTGTAAGGCAAAGCCAGGTCTAAGGGCAAAAGTACCCACAGGCTTACAGGAGCTCAGCTGCCCCATGCCAATACCAGCACGACTCACCATCTTAATGTTTGGTTTTATGACACAGGGCTTCATGTAGGCCAGGCTGGCTCCTAACTATGTAGTAGAAGCTAGCCTTGTGTGCTATTGTAATCCATTTACCCTCACCTCCTGAGTACAGGGATTACAGGTGTGTGAATGCCATTTGTTTTGCTTTTACTGAGACATTCTTTTAGCCCAGGCTAGCAATCTTTCTGCCTCAGATTCCTAAATGCTGGGGTTATAAACCCATATCAACATGGTCAATTTGGTGTGGCTCCTGAGCCTCCCAACACCTGGTTCCCTGAAAGGGTCTCCTGTGTGCTGGACCCCTCCATATTGCCACCTGTTATCTAGATTGCATTTTACACAACTACACTGGGTTCTAGCTCTGCAGGATTCAGACCTTCTATATTATCAACACCCATGACCTCATCGCTAGTCAGGACTCAATTGAGCTAATCATTTGTGACAGGCAGAAGATATTTCCTCCAAGATCTTACCTACACTACATATGGTTCACATCTATACTTACATGGAGGCTGAGCTGGGGGGTGGGGGTTTGTGTTTTGGTAAGTAGCAGGCTAGCCTGGGCTATAGTATGAGGCTGGAGCTCAGATGGCAGGGTGCTGTCCCAACACACACAGAGCTCTGGCACCATCCCTAACATTACAATCAACATCTGGGGCCACAGCTGTAATCCTAGCCCAGGGAGTCTAAGGCCACATATCTTCATCACTATCCTGATCCCTGAGTCTACCAGGATATGTCAGGCATAGTGCAGGCTCTTGATGACAAACAGGCTGGGACTGGGCACTCTGAATTCCAAGAAGGGCACTGGAGAAACTCTGACATCTACTGGGGACTTGGCAAAGGAAAGCTTTAGCCTTTAGTTTTTACTCTGTATGTGTGGGTATTTCGCCTGAATGTATGTTTATACCACATGCCTGCCTTAGTACAGGAGGTCAGAAGAGGGCATCAGATTCCCTGGGACTATAGTTACAGATAGCTGGAACTGTGGTGATGTAGTGATGGGTAACGTGGGTGATAGGAATTGAACCTTGGTCCTCTGGAAGACCAACCAGTGCTCTTAACCCCTGAGCCACCTCTCTAGGCCTATCTGTGCATTTATTAAACACCTTCTATATGCTCAACCCTGAGCAGCTTCTTGCTGTGATTCTTATAGCCACCGCTACTCTCTACTGAAAAACCAAAGCTAGGACCTGAGAGGCTCTTGAAATAAGAAAGCAGACATCTCAGAACTGGAGTGGGGATTCAGCGGTTAAGAGCACTGGCTACTCTTCTGAAGGTCCTAAGTTCAATTGCCAGCAACCACATGGTAGCTCACAACCATCTATAATTCGAGCTGGTGCCCTCTTCTGGCCTCCTTCCATCGTTCCCTAGAGTTGGCTAGTGGCCTCTTTGGGGCATGTCACAGTGCCAAAACTTTTTTCCCCCCCATTTCTCTGTGTAGTCCTGGAACTTAACTCTGTAGACCAGGATGGCCTTGAACTCACAGAGGCCTGCCTCTGCCTCCCAAGTGCTGGGATTAAAGGCGTGCACCACCACCACTTGGCTCCAAACCTTTTCTTACAGATTCTAAGTACCTGTTTCCAAAGAATGATGCTATGTACTCTCAATACAACAAATGTTAATGGCTCAGAAGATGAGCTTTGGGTTAGGCTCAGTTGTAGTACATTTGCAGGGAGTTCAATGGTTCTATCCCTATGTCACCAAAAACAAACTCAAGGACTGGTGAGATGACTCAGTGGGCAGAAGCACTTTAGTGTGATTGCTGGAATCCATACAGTAGGTAGTCAGAGGACCAGTCCTAAGATATCCTTCACATACATGCTATGGAACACATGAAAACTCCAACACATAAATGTTAGGACAAATTTACAATGAATAGATAAATTCAAGATTCAAGCATACACCTGTAACCTGGTACCCAAGGATCAGAGGCAGGAAGTGGAGAGATGGAGGATAGCCTGGATATGTGGACATCCTGATATGTCCATGACTCAAGCTGAATTCCCATCCTCCTTGCTCACGATGCCAGGCAGAGAGACTGTTCATTTTCTGTTTCTAGTGATCTAGATCTAGGAACTCTCTCCTGATGGAGTTACAGCCTCCCAGCCCCACAGTCATGACGAAAACTGACTCCATGTGCTGTGTGCTAATCTGGGTTATTCATTAGCTTGGGTGGTTTTTTTTTTTTTTTTTTGTTTTTGTTTTTAACCTTCATTTTGTAGTACTGGGCTGGAACCCAAAGCTAGGGAGCTGCGGTCACACCCCAACCCCTCACTGGGGGACTGTAGGCAGGGGTTCTACCACTGACCCAAACCCCATACCTTCACTCCAAGTCTTAGTATGTAGCCAAACGCTGACCTCCAGCCCACTATGTATCCCAGGCAGGCCTTGAAGTCATGCTTGTCCTATCTCAGTGCAGCTCTACTTGTAACCCACCCTTCTGAGCACTTACCTTTCTGGTCCTTTCAAGTCTGTTCCCCCATCCATCCTTCCTTAGCCATTATAGGCCAGGAAAAGGTCCAGAGAAGTCATTTCTCTGAGGCCATGTAGGCAGGAGGTGATCTCTGGTTCCACAGACAAGTTTCTGAGAGGTCATACCTGCATGAGCTGGTCATGCTGGGCAGGGTCAAAGTCATCCTCCAGGTCCTGCTCCTCAAGGCCCAGTGTCTCGTTGCCAGTGACCTGGCGCAGTTTCTCCAGCTTAGCCAGAATCTCCTTCCTCTTTAGGTTCTTTAACTGTTTCAACTCCTCCTGCTTCCTGGCCTTCTCCTGTGGGTGAAAGATGCTCAGCATGCCTGAGAGGTAAAGCCTTGCAAATAGGCAGATATTCCTCCTGCCGGGATCCCTTCAGGGCTTACGTGAAAACCAGTGCTTTGGGAACTAGGCAAGTGCTCTAGCCACTGAGTGACAGTCTGTATTTTGTTTATTTATGAGACAGGGTCTCACTTTATAGCTCAAGATGGCATAGAACTCTTTCTGTAGACCAGGCTGACACTGAGGTTATGGCGACCTGCTTCTGCCTCGCAGTACTGGCAAGAACTCAAGAGATTATCCTGCCTCTGTCTCCTGAGTGCTAAGATTAAAGGTGTTTGCCACCAGCATCTTTTAACTGTCTTCTGTGGAGATGGTATAACTATATTCCCCAGCTTGGCCTTGAGCTCTCTACCTATCTTGGGCAGGCCTGAAATTTTTGGTGTCTGTGCCTTGATTATGAGGGTTTGGGGATCGCTGGTACACTCACCCTCTTCTTCCGCTCCCTAGTTTCTTCCCTCTTCTCCTTCCTGCGCTCATCCTTACGGCGCACAGATGATGCAATGCTACGTGGGTACGTCTTGACCTGTGGGCAGGAGAGGTGCCCAGAGGGGACTCAGAGATGGTATGGGGGTTGAAGGGTTAGACCCTGGGCAGCCATGTCCTCCCTGACCCAGGACTGGGCACACACTGAGGCTGAATCAGGCTCCTCAAAGCGGAAGTTGTACTTGTGTTCAAAATCTTCCTGCTTCCTCAGGAACAACTCCCCTTCGTCTGAAGAGTCGTCCACTGCCAGCTGGACTGTGGGGCCTGGAACCCTGAAGGACATGATGGAGAACCCAGTCAGACATGAACTCCTTTTATCCCCACAAGAACTCTACAACAGGGGCTGGTGAGTTGGTTCAGCAATGGAGGAAACCGACTCCCACAAGTGTGCTGCCCCATCCTTGTAAGCATAGAAATGTAATGAAGAAATTATAAATAATACAAAAAAAAAAAAAAAAAAAAAAAAAAAAAAGGTAGGCGGTGGTGGAGTGCGCCTTTAATCCCAGCACTCGGGAGGCAGAAGCAGGTGGATCTCTGAGTTTGAAGCCAGCCTAGTCTATAGAGAAAGTTCCAGGACGGCCAGGGCTACATAGAGAAAACCTGTCTCAAAAAACAAAACAAAACAAAAACAAAACAAAACAAAAAAACCAAAAAAACCCCAAAAAGAACAAATAAACCAAACCCAAGCTCATAGTGCCCACTGTGGTGGCCCAGGATCCTGGGTGCTAGACAATAACTGAGGCACAGCCTGGAAAGAGGAACTGGCTGCTCACCCTTCCTCCTCTATTTCTTCTTCCTCCTCCTCTTCATATCGTTTGTTGAGAATATAATCCTTCAGGAATTGTTCGCCCTCATCCAGTTCTGGGCTGTTCCAGTACTCCTTGAGGTGTGTCTATGGGGAGAGAGGATAACACAAGCTCAGTCCCATGGAGGGGGACATGCAAATTGCCTGGGATGGACCATGAGAATTGAAATTTCACAGCTGACCTAGAGCGGGTAGATTAGCACCAGGTCCTGCTGTGTAGTACTGGCTGATTTTGCACTAATTGCAATCCTTTCTTATCTTCTTGAGCACTGAGATTACAAATGTCAGCCACCGCACCTGGCCTATATTAGCCTCAATTTATCCACTGAGAAACTGAAACCCAGAATTTGTTCATTTTATCCTCAAAGAATGTGCCTTTGCTTGTTTTTGGTGCTGGGGATGGAACCCAGGCCCTTGTGCATGCTAGGTAGGTACTACCTTTGAGCCATGACCATCTGCTCACTGGAGGATTCGGGGATGATGCCCTCCCACTGAGCCACAGCCCCAATACCTCACTGGGGGAATTCTAGGCAGGGGATCTACCACTGCAGCACACCCTAGTCCCTCAAGTGTCGTGGAGTATCTGGAAGTAGGTGACACAAAGTTGGAACAGGCAATTTAGCCCTGGGGACTACATCAAAGGACTTACCAGTTCTTTCAAGGACTGAGAGCAGTGAATCTCCTTTTGCCCCTTTAGCCACTCAAGGTAATCCACTTCTTCCTGGGCCTGTGGAAGGGTAGCAGTGAGTTCCCTGGGAACCCAGCTGCCCCATGTGCAGTGCAGGCATCCCAGCATGTCCCAAGCACCAACCTTTTCTTCCCCACTGCTGCTGTGTTTCCGCAGCAGCCCAGAGCCACCTTCAGTACTGTCCTCGTCACTGCTGTCCTCCACGAAGGCTCGGAAGCTGCACAAGCCATTGAGCAGATGTCAGCCCTGACACTGTGGCATGCGTACTTCTGGCACTACAGTGGCTGTTCTGTGCCCCACTTTATCTCCTGTCTCTGTAGCCACCAACCCCAGCCCCAGCTCACCTTTCCTTCAGCTGCTTCTGTTCTTCTACATAACTTTTCATTGACGTTTCCTGCAGAGGAGGAACTGATGTGGGCTCAAGCCAGCTATGAACCATCATGCCCTCAGCTGGCTACTGTTCTACCCACCTTGAGCCTGTGGTCAAAAGTCTCCCCATCAGAGTTGTCCTCGTCAACATATTTGCTGTGCAGAAAACAGCAGACTTTAGAACACAGCACCAATGCACAATAGCTCAACCCACAATACCCTGACTTGACATTATTGGGTATTAACGTCTATTTAGTATTTACTTTTCCCAAAGAAACATTTTATATTTCAGTGTATGTATGTAATGGATGTGTTGCATGTACATGGCTACAGACTCAATCAACTGAGTCATTTAGTCTACCTCACTCCTACCCCAGAAGACAAGGTTTTAGCATGTAGTTCCTCCTGGCCTGTAACTTCCTATCTGAACTAGTCCGACTTCAAACTTAGGAAAACTCTCCTGCTCCCGTCTCTTGAGTGCTGGGGTTATAGCCAATCTCTAGCTGAAATTGGCTAGAACTTTTAAGTTTTAACTTAATTTTTACTTCATAATATTTTCCTCCCTTCTTTTTTAAAACAGTGCTGAGGATCAAACCAATAGCTTTCTGATGGGAGATGTCATTCTGTATATGTTTCTCATACTGGTTAATAAATAAAGCACTATTGGCCAATAGGAAAGGAAGATAGGATGGACTAGGAGACAAGGAAGAAGAGAAAGTAGTAAGGAGGAGCCAGGATGGAGAGCCTGGAGAGAACAGAACCACCATTCCTCCACTCTTGGTAAGACCATGTGGAAATACATAGAAATGGGTTAATAATTAACACAGAGCTACCGATAAGAAACTAGCACCTGGCCAATAGCATTGTATCAAATACAGAGTCTCTGTGCATTATTTGGGGCTGGCGGCGTGGCGGCAGGACAAGACCAGGCGGCGGGCGGAAAAACCATACTCCTTACAGCTTTCCACAGGGCAGACAAGCATTCTACTGAGGTCTTATTCACTCTGTAGACCAGGCTGCCCTCAAACTCAGAGATCCACCTGCCTCTGCCTCCTGGGTGCTCATATTAAAGGCATGCGCCACCACTGTCTGGCACAAGCACTCTTAAATGCTGGGTCTTCTCTCTAGCCTTTAAAAACATTAAAAATATGCTATTCTTTTTCATCGTGTGTATACGTGTGTCTAGGTGTATAGAAGTGCAGTGCCTGTGGAGGGCATAGGTAGAGGATCCCCTTAGAGTTGGAGTTATAGATGATCATGATCTGCTGAACCTGAATGTTAGGAACTGAATTCTGGTCTTCTGAAAAAGCAACAAGAATTCTTAACCACTTATCCATCTCTCTAGCCTAAGGTAAAAGATTTAATTAATTTTATTTATGGTGTGTTTATGTGTATGCATGCCATAGTGTGCATATGGAAGTCAGTTCTATCCTTCTACCACGTGAGTCCTAGGGACTGAAGTCAGGGTGGCAGGCTGGGTGGTAAACACCACTGCCTGCTAATCCTCACACAGGCCACCACATAGTGGAGGCTGGCCTAGAACTACTGGAACTTCCTGGAACTACTATGGAGACCAGGCTGCCTCTGCCTCCTGAGTGCTGCCCAGCTTATGCTAAAGCTCTTTTTGGTTTTTTTTTTTTTTTTGGTTTTACAAGACAGGGTTTCTCTGTAGCTTTGGAGGCTGTCCTATAACTCACTCAGTAGGCCATGCTGGCCTGGAGATCAAAGAGATCCATCTGCCTCTGCCTCCTGAGTGCTGGGACTAAAGGTGGGCACCACCACCACCCGGCTATGTTAAAGCTCTTAATGCCAAACCTGCAGACCTGAGGTTTGATCACTGGAACCCACATTGTGGAAGGGGAAAACAGAAGTCCAACAACTTCTACATGTGGTATAAAAAATAAATTAATTAAGAATATTAAATTGGGGGCTGGTGAGATGGCTCAAAGGTTATGAGCACTGGCTGTTCTTCCAGAGGTCCTGGGTCAATTTCCAGCTCCTACATGGCAGCTCACAACTGTGGGGAACCCCAAAGCAAAGTTAGCATCTTAACAGCCATCTTTTCTACTATTCTCTTAAATACTAACATACTGGTAATTTTCCATTCCCTTATGACTGTTTTCCTGTTAAACATATGATGCAGCCTGGCCCTAAAAGAGTCCCAGCTGCAGGCTTATCGTATAGCTAGTTCCTGCTTGGAAGAACATTATGTTTCCCTCACATCCTCCTTCTGGCCCATTCCCTCATTTCTCCACTACTTAAACCCTGTGATTATATTTAATAAATGAGACTTGATCAGAATACTGTTTTGGCTCCATCTCTCGAGTCTCTTGTCTCCTCATTCTTACCTCCCTCCCTCAGGGTCCCCGAGGACCCCAACTGACTCCGAGGGCTGGGGCACACAACTGCCTATAACTCCAATTCCACAGGGTCCGGCATCCCAGTTGCACAAGTATACATGTAGGCAAAACACCAATGCATGCACATAAAATTTTTAAAAAGTTAAATAGGTAAAATTAAGAATGTTAAAAAGGCAGGCAGTGGTGGTGCACACCTTTAATCCTGGCATTAGTGAGGCAGAGGCAGGTGGATCTCAATGAGCTCGAGGCCAGCCTGGTCTACAAAGCTAGTTCCAGAAAGGCAGGGATACACAGAGAAACTCTGTCTCAAAATGAAAAAAATAACACCACCAGCAAAACCCTCTGATACATCTTCATGGTCCCTAGAGAGCTGGAGGCTGATAGGTGGGGATGAGGGTCTCCTTACCCTTCTTTCTCTAAGATGACCTTCCTCTCATAGTCCTTCAGGTACATGGGCTGTATTTTCTTCTGCTTCCCTGAGGCTGCTGGCTCCTCCTCACTCTCTGAAGATGAGGTTTCAGCTGTGGGTCAGCAGAAGATACCTGTTGTTGCCCCCAACTTCCCTCTTCCCTTGGCAGAGAATCCCACAGGCACGACTGGGAGCAGACATAAGTTCTAAATTCCTGCCAGCCCCTTCCAACTGTAAAATAGTAAACCATCCTACTCTACCCTTCATTTTTCCAGGGACAGAGTATAACGTAGCCCAGGCTAGACTAAAACTCAACCAATCAAGTCTTTAAGTACAGATAGAGCTAAATTGACAGTGTTTGCCTAACAAGCCTAAGTCTCTTTGTTCAATGTCAGTTATGTGGCACACATTTGTAATTCTTGCATTTTGGAGAGTGGAGGCAGGGGGATCAGAAGTTCAATCACACTCTTGGCTACATAGTAAATAAGAGGCTAGTTCTAGGTTACATAAGACACTACCTCAAAAAAATAAAAAAGCATTTCTAACCTGGTATTTTAAACTTATGAATTCATTGAATTCATAGAGAGGGCTTTTTTTTTTTTTTTTTTTTTTGTTTTGTTTTGTTTTGCTTTTCTGAGACAGGGTTTCTCTTTGTAACTTTGGAGCCTGTCCTGGAACTAGCTCTACAGACCAGGCTGGACTTGAACTCAGAGATCCACCTGCCTCCTGCTTCTCAAGTGCTAGGATTAAAGGCATGCACCATCATGGCCAATGCTTATGGATGCCAGAGGCCATCTTGCATGTATCATTCCTCAATTGCCATCCATTCTTTTTTGGTTTTTTGAAACAAGGTTTCTCTGTGTAGCCTTGGCTGTCCTAGACTGACTCTGTGAGTCTGGCCTCAAACTCACAGAGACCTGCCTGCCTTTGCCTCCTGAGTGCTGGGATTATGGGCTGTATACTACCACTCTGGAGTCTGGCACCTCAGTAAGTATGGAAAACATTTCATTCAACAATTCAATTCCATAAATACTAAGGTAGAGAAGCAACCTCCTCAATACCTGTTCTCTGATAGAAAGTAGCATCTTTCTGGTAAATTCGGGGGTCCTTTTTCTTCAGCAAGGACAGAGTCCTGTAAAAGTCTCTCTCCTGCTGGGGATCAAATTCCTAGAGCAGGAAAAAGAACAGGGCTGACTTCAGAAGGAAGGCACAGTATGAGTAGGGGCTGGGACCAGCAACCCTGAGGATTAAGTGGGGGGGTAAGGAAGAATAAAGAGCGCAGATGAAGAGAAGCAGCACAGCACTGGGTCTGGGCAGGTGTGGCCAGAAGGCAGGGATCGTGGTAGGCACTTGATAGGGTAAAGCAAGAGTGGGAAAGGAGGTACACCCTGAAAAGTTCAGGTGGGCGACTGAGCAGGCACACAGAGTGCTCCTGGGTGGACCATGAGAAGGCCCTGGCTACATATGATGAAGCCAACATTAGAGCTGCTGTGGGAAGACAAAGTGGTGTCCCACACGGTCTAGAAGGTACTACAATGCAGACTCTGGATTTTAGGAACAGGAAGGATGGTTCCTAGGGGACAGAAGGGTTGGACCACTAATCAGGATAGATGGGAGGACAAGGTGATCATAAAGTAGAAGGGATATGACAATCCCTAGGGATGGGTAGGTCACTGTCTGTCTCTTAAGGGATGGGGGAGGTGTCTTGGAACTACCTTAGGGCTCTACTGGGTTAGGGGAAGATCCCATCTGCAAATTGGTGGGTGGCCTGGAGTCAAGTAGTGAGGATTTGATGTCTCCTAGACATGGAGAGAGTACTACTGGTAACTCAAGGGACTAGGGGGGTGGGTCCTGATGTTCCTATAGTGTCCCATATGATTAAAGTAAGGCGCTTGGTCTTTCTTGGGAAGTAGGGAGGATGTGGCAATTCCCTAGGTACAAGGAGAATGCTGCTTGTCACTTAAGGGATTGGGATGCAGGTCTTGGGATGTGCCTATGGGGCCCTATGGGGTTAGGGTCCCACGTGTATCTAAGTAGGGGTGCTGTGGAGGCTTGAGGCCAAGTTAGGAAAGTAGGAAGATTTAGCGACCAGTAGGATGAAGCTATCTGTCACTCAAGGGGTTAGGAGATAAATCTAGAACCATCCCTTTAGGGTAAGGCATTCCAGGGCATACAGGTGAGAGAGCTCAGTGGGTGGGAGGCTTCAGATTTCTTCCAGAAAGAAGGGTGTATTTGGCGATTCTTGGGTTGGGGGGAATGCCTGTCACTCAAAGGAAGGAGGCGGGTCTTAAAGACTCCCGGACAACCCTGCCTGGTTAGGTCTGGGAAGCTTACCACATGCTCGTCGCTGGAGTTAGACTCGGAGCTGGAGTCGCCGCCATCCAGATCCCCATAGCGATCCTTCACTGTGGGGTACAAAGATCTCCTCTCAGCCACCTTTAACAGATGCATCCTCCAGTCCCCCACACCCCGGCCTGCGCAGGCACCCCTCACTCACGCCGCTGCAGTTCCTCACGCTCGCGGTAACGACTGTAGCGCGCGGCAAACGCTGCGTTCACCCTCAGGGACGCAGAACCGTGCGGTTCCGGCATGGCGACTGTGAGGCCTAGTGCGCACGCGTGCATCCCCCTTCCCACGTGACCTCCTCTAGGCACGCCCACTGAGGGCGTCTCTTAAAGGGGCAAGTACATTACAGACTCGTCTTGCTCCTTCCCCGACCCTTCCGGGATCGAGTTGGCCTTTTGCTTCACAGGCCACACCCAGGGGCCAAGCCTCTGCGGGAAACGCCACAAGCCACCGCCCACCCTTCTCCACCCTGCCGGCTCCCGGCACCCAGCTGACATCTGGGGGCCCCTTTCTCCACTCGCGGTTTCCTGCCTCCCTTCCGTTCTGACAGGACCCAACCGCTACCCCACCCAGCTCAGTTACCCTGACGCCCTAGGAACGACCATGTCGCCCCTTCACCCCACAGCTCCCACAACCACGCTATCCCTCAGTTTCATCCCACCCATGTCCTGGAATCAAATCAGAAGTCACCCTCAACGTCGTCATGCCTAAGTCTTAGCTTCATGGGCCAAAACATTAAATGATCACACAAAGCAATTCCTTTCCATAAAAGCAATAAATATATATATTTCAAACTCTGTACAACAGACTGGAAAACAAACTTACAAGAAAAATTTAGCTCACACTATTGTTTCAACGGATTCAAAATGTTTTCCCCCTCCCCCTCCCAAAGTAGGTGGCTCCCACTTCAGGGCTCTCTGAGCACAGCCTTCAAGGTCACTGGCTTCCAGGAGCTCAGGAGATGATGTTCTCACTCTGAGGTTAGGGCTTTAAATCTCTGCCCTGAGGTCTCTGCAGCCAGGTGCAGGGAAAACTGAACCGTTTAGGTGGCTGTTGCTTGTAGGAGCCCCTGCTCTGTCTAACACACCAAATGGGGTGAGAAAAACAAATGTCCCCAAACACACTCACTCAAGAAATCAATACCAATAAACCACAAACTGCCCCTCCCACTCCCATCTTCAGTGGATGGGAACAGAGAGTGAAAGTTTCTTTTCTCCTTTGTTGACTTGTAAGCCAGTGAGGCTCTCTGGCTGGAGACAGTGGCCCTGAGTCACATTGGGATCACCATGTGCCTCTGCAGGATGCCCATGAGGCTCTGATCCCCTCTCTGCCGGGCCAACTCCAGGGGGGTGAGACCCGAAGCGTCCCTGTGATGGAGGTCAGATTCAGGAGCCAGGAAGTTGACCACGGAGCTATGGCCCTCTCGTATTGCCAGATGGATAGGGAGCGACCCGGTGCCATCCAGGGCATTGACATCAGCCCCATGCTCCACCAGGACCTTCAAGGTGTCCAAGAACCCAGTTCGAGCGGCATCATGCACTGGAGTGGTTCCAGAGGCATCTTGGACATTGGGGCTAGCACCTTGCTTCAGGAGTTCCAGAGCGACTGCTGGACTTCCAAACATCATGACCTATGTATGGGGAGTGGGGAGCAGAGGTCAGGAGGTTCCCACAGGAAAAAAGTCAAGCAGGAGGAGAGGTCTACCAGAAATCCAGAATGCCAGTGAAGGGGGGACCCTTTAATGAGCAGGGACACCCCAGGAAAGACAGGCCCCCAGGGAGCTGTCTAGGACCCCAGAAAATAGGTTCTTTGGAAATAAGGACCACACACACACACACACACACACACACACAGAGCTCATTTGCTAATACAAAAGACCCTAACTCCAAAAGTGACTCTCAGAAAAACTTTAAGGGGCCAGGCATAGTGACCACCCCTGTAATCCCTGCACTTGGGAGGACGAGCCACAAAGATAACCTCAATTTTAAGGACAGCCAAAGATACAGAGTGAGATGTTGTCTTAGAAATAAAAAAGTAATGAGAAGAAAAAGAAGCAAAGAGAAAAAAAAGGGGGGATGGGTAAAGGAAGGGAAGGACAGGAAGGGGGGATGAACACTCAAGGAGCCAAGTACCTCTCAGGCACTGGGCACTCCCATATGGGCGATCACTAGAACTGTTAAACCCCTCCAGACAATGCGACCCCATTTTCTGAGAACTACTTAGAATTTTTTAGAAAAGAGATGCTCTAAGGAATTTGGATTCCCTTTGTCTAGGGAAAACTTCTTTTGACATAGGCATGATCTTCAGAATATAGGAGCACTCATGAAAACATGGTACCCTCTACAAACCCACCCCAAATTATGGGGCCTTGAAGGAACAGGGAACTTTTTTGTAACCAGAGCACTCAGAAGATAGATAAAAAAAAAAAAAAAAATCCACACCATCTTCAGAAATGAAGACTTCCCCCACCCCCAAATAACTAGAGCCCCTTAAAACTGACTCCTAAAAGGAAAAAAAAAAAAAAAAAGGCTATTTCCCTTGGAGAGGAGGTACAGCCTACCTTCCTGAGATCGAATGTTTTTTTAGAAGATCCCCAAAATGTGAGCTGTCCTCAAGGACTGGCATGAAAAGAACCCTAACCCACCCACGGAATAAAAGTCTGCAGCAAAACTGAATCTTCTAGGTTTGAAGACAAGGAATTCTTTAGAGCTGAAAAGTCATCCCCTCCCCCACCCGCATCACCCCACCAACACTGGTGCAAACAAGGAATGGTCCTCAGGGGATCACCAACCCGGGACAGGAGACTAGGAACGATGGGGTGTGGGAGCCAGGTGTCAGACAGGCCTCACCTGCAAGGCCGTCTTGCCAAAGCGGTTCAGAGCGTCAGGATGCACCAGCTCCCGGTGCAGAAGGCGGCGCACCTCTTGCACGTCGCCACGGGCCGCTGCGCCACTCAGCTGGTCACCGACGCGGACTTCTTCCAGGAGCATCGTGACCCGGGTGGTCTGTGAAACCCACCCAGCTTCAAGCCCAGTCCAGGTCAAGGCTGAGAAACCAGCAAGAGCTGAATCGGAACCCTAGGGCTTCCTTTCCCTGGGGATGTGGCGCCACTGGGGCCTACTCTATGGTTACTCCCCAGCTGCAGACCCTTCGCCCTCGAACCCCTACGACCCCGGCTCTCGCACCCGGCTCCTCCCCCTGTCACCGTGAGAGGAGACGGGGAACCCCGCCCAGTCCTTGGGCATCCGCCCCTTGGGCCGGGTCTCCCCAGACTCACCCTCCCTCTTCTGCTTGCGCGGGCGGGGTCTGCTCTGAGCCGGCTCTCACCGCCTCCCTAGACAGCCGCCAGTAGGCGAAGCTAGCGCGCCACATGCCCCGCCCAAAGCGCCCTTGTTTTCTTACAAACTCGCTACACAGTAGCGGGAGCCAGTTTGCCCAGCGCCCGACCTCCGTACGTCACGCCTACCGGAGACCTCAGCCAACCAGCATGCGTTGCTGGGAAGGTTTGTCTCGCCCAGAGGGGTGGTGCAGCTCGTGATTGGTCAGCGGGCGGCAACCCGCGGGACTGCCCGCCACCGCAGGGTGTTTGGTTTTTCAAACCCGACTGGCGGGCAGCCGGGCGGGAAAGTGAGGGAAGATTTAACTGACCCCAGGAGCGGGCTGGTCTTGGAACTTTAGCGCCTCCGGGAGGAATGGAGGGAGGACAGAGAGCTCCCAGAATTGGAACTTTCTATTCATTTATATATCCCGGAAGTCGTAGTTAGCTCTTACTGTGCAACTGGGAATTTAGTTCATTCATTCCACTGCTGAGTTAAAGGAATGGCCTCTTGGCGGTCAAGTCTAACATTTTTTTCTTTGCTTTAAATTTCTTTGACAGGGTCTCACTGTGTAGCCTTAGCTGGCCTGGAATTCACAGTGTAGCGCTGTCTGGCCTCAAACTCAGATAGCCACCTGCCTCTACCATGTGTGCGAAGATTAAAAGAGTGGGCTCTAGTTTCTTTTGTTTTTTTTCGAGGCAGGGTTTCTCTGACTTTAGAGGCTGTCCTGAACTAGCTCTTGTAGATCAGGCTTGTCTCAAAATCAGAGATCCACCTGCCTCTGCCTCCTGATTGCTGGGACTAAAGGCGTGTGCCACCACCGCCCCTCTTTGTTTTGTTTTTTTAAAGAAAGGGTCTTGGAGCTGGAAAGATGGCTCCGCGGCTAAGAGCATTTGATGTCCTTGTAGAGAATCAAGAGTTAGGTTTCCAACACCAACGTCACAGCTCTCAGCTAAACATAACTCCAGCTTCAAGGGATCCAACAGTCTTTTAACCTCTGCACACAATACATATATAGTCAAACACCCATATTTTCACATAATTTTCTTTTTTTTTTTTTTAAGTTTTTTTCAAGATAGAATCTTACTACATAGCTCTGGCTGTATTAGAACCCCATCAGATCTACCTGGCTCTGCCTCCTAAATGCATGGGATTAGCAGTGTATACCATTATACCTGAGATTTTCTTTTATTTTCTTTTTTTTTTTTCTTTTTTCTTTTTAATGTGCATTGGTGTTTTGCCTGCATAGCTGTGTGAGGATGTTGTATCTCCTAAAACTGGAGTTACAGACAGTTGTGAGCTGCCATGCGGGTGCTGGGGATGGAAACCAGGTCTTTTGGAAGAACAGCTGAGCCATCTCTCCAGCTCTGTGATTTTCTTTTAATTTTTTAAAAAGGGTATCATGTAGCCCAGGATGGCCTCCAATTTCTTATGTAGCTAAGGATGACACGTAAGCCTCCTGAATACATCTCCCAAGTGCTATTACAAACTCAGTCCATGAAGTGCTGGGGATGGAACCCAGGACTTCTTGGATGTTTAGCAATGACTCTAAAGGCCATGGGCCTCTAACAGTTTTTATTGAGACAAGTTCTCATGTAGTATAGGCTGGCCTCAAAGTTACTAAATCTAGATTAACCTCAAACTCCTAATCATTTTTCTTCTACCTCTTGAGTGCTGGGATTACAGGTATATACCACTATGCCTGGCTTAGTTTTGAACATCATTAAGCACCACACACACAGATTAATGTTAGAAATTGTAGCTGGGTGTGGTGGTGTTCTCCTTTAATCACAGCACTTAGGAGGCAGAGACAGGAGGATCTCTATGAGTTTCAGGCCAGGCTGGTCTACAGAGAAAATTCCAAAGTTACAGGCTCCAAAGTTACAGAGAAACTCTGTCTTGAAAAAAAAAAAGAAAGAAAGAAAATTAAAAAGAAAAGAAATTGTAGGTGTTGAGAAAAGAACATGCTAGCTCAGATCAAGCAATCTGTTGCTCAACTGAAAGTTGGCCTGATGTTTGCCATGTGAAGTTCTGGGAGGTAAGTACTACCCAAAAACCTCCTTTGATGGCCATATACAGAGCCTACCAGCACACATCCACAGTCTAAGCCATGAGATACGACTGAATATTTTCAGAGTAGTAAATGCTGTGAGGTGATAAAGGAAGGTCATTAAACCTAGTAATCTTGGCACTCAGGAGTCTGAGGCAGGAGGATGAAGTTATAGGCCATCCTGGGCTAGATAGCTAGTTCTCAAAACTCTCAAATATATTGCTAAGTAAAGTGGCAGACACCATTAATCACAGCACTAAGGAGGCAGAAGCAGGTGAATCTGACTTCAAGGCCAGTCCAGTCTACAAAGTGAGTTCCAGGACAGCCAGGGCTACATAGTAAGGCTGTATATAAAAATCCAGAAAAACAAGGCAAAATACAGGGTCTGTCCACTAAAAGACATTCTGCTCTTCTAGAGGGCCCAAATTTGGTTCCTAGCCCACACCAGGTATAGGGAAGAGGGGCGCAGAAAGTTTGTCTTAAGAAAATCTGACTGTGTGGTTGTGGCATACAGCACTCCCAGAACTTGGGAGGCAGAGAGAGGAGGATCTCTGTGAGTTTGAGGCCAGCCTGGTCTACAATTGAATTCCAGGACTCAAACAAACAAAAATCAATAGAAAATTAATACCAAACAGTAACACAGTAACATGGCTGACTGTAGGGTCACTGCATTTGTGCAGGAATGATATGGAAAAGGAAAGCAGGAGAGCAGGAAGGTTGGCAGGTGGTGGTAGAGTGGTGTGTAGACCAGACCTGGGACTGTACTAACTCTTTACTTTTAACAAGATTGGGAAAGGATCACAGTTAAGCAGGGCAATAATATACTGACAGATTTTTCCCCCTCTGAGACAGACAGGGTTTCTCTGTGTAGCTTTGTAGACCAGGCTGACCTGGAACTCAGAGATCTGCCTGCCTCTGCCTACTGAGTGCTGGGATTAAAGGCACCATTGCCTGGCCCATGAACTGATAGAATTTACAGCAACCTCTGTACAGAGGGCTACAGAGGGATCAGAGTGACAGGGAATGAAGGGGAAGGTACAGAGGAACTAGGCTGGAAAAGATGGACACTCCCATCTAAGCACTTATGGTCATTCCCAGTCCATAACCAAGAAGCACATTCATAGCTGTTAGATTTATTTTAATGACACCTTAAAATTCAGATGGAGAGCCAACAGGGTCTTGGCTCAGCAGCTATAAACGAGCCCTCTAGGGCAGGTCATTACAAGAAGGCACTCATGGAGGAGGAGGGCAGTTCAGACCCTCTTATTTCTTCATATAAAATCAGGTTGGGAGAGCTCTAAGGGTGAGGGACACAGAGAAATTATTCCAGACAGCTGAGAGGTACAGGGGTTTGGGTGCTGGCAGCAGGAATGTGTTGTCAGTACCCTAACCCAGCATGAAAACACACACACACACACACACACACACACACACACAATCTTTCTCTAGTTTGAGATCTGGGGAGAGGGAAGCCCCACATTCAAACCCCCACTTCTTCTACTTCTAGCTGGTACGAAGTTGATAATCTGCAGAAAAAAAATGAGCAGGGACCATCTGAGAATTGAGAATTGAGAAAGGGGAAAGAGAATCCTCCAACATTCACAAAATTGATCCTGGGTCCTAACACACAAAATCACCCTGGAAATATTTCACAATGTTAAGGGCTTACAGGCTTGGGACATGAGGTGGCTGGATGATAGATCTCCTGTAAAGCCCTGGTTTCTGTCCTATTATCATAAAAATATTATTATTGTTTTGCTTAGATCAGGATAGGTTCCCTCTAGCCAACAGGCCCATATCCAGGCAGCATATGGAGATGCATCAGCATCTTGTTCAGACCTTGGAGCAGACCAGCTATCCCATTTTAAAGATGTATAAGCTGAAGCCCAAGGAAGCATGGTAAAGGCCTGGTTTGGGGCTAAACATGCTTTAGTACTGTCTCAAACAGCATCAAACTCATCAGTCTTCATGCCCTCCATCTCCTTAAGCTCGCTGTCCCAGACAGCCCACTCTTACCCCCACTCTGGGTGATGTAGCGGACCCAGGGCAGGGCCTGGTATCCACTTTTCTCAATGATCTTCATGTACCGGACCTGGAAGACAATAAAAATTAGGGAGGCAGTTCAGCTGTAGCAGTTCCTTCTAGAGTCACCTGTGAGGACTGGGGTATGACTCATGGGAGAGCCCCTGCCTAGCATGTATCAGTCCCTGGGTTCAATCCCAGTGTGGGGGAAGGAGGATACTGGGAGGGGGAAGTACCTAGAGGCAGAGGGAAAAGTGACAAACTGTGTCAAGAGAACACATACAGGACATGCTTTAGGATACAAAGTGACACAAGCTAGGAGTCTTTGGGTATGACAGGCACAAAGAGGAAGTGATCCAGGCTTGTAGGGAAAATACAGGTCAGAGTGGGGGACTGGTCAAGAGAATGGAGACTACTCTGATGTAGGTGCCAGTGTGAGAGGTGGAGAGGGAAGAGCCCCAGCCTGAGAAGAGGCGGCATTCCCAGGCAGAAGACAAAGAAGCAGAGAACTTGGCATGGGGACACATGATTTCCCTAGAGCTTGGGAATGTATATGGAAGGATGTCATCAGTTCAAGGCCAGCCTGAGTTGTGTAGTGAGTTCAAGACTAGTCTGCACTCAGTGAGTCCTTGGCTAGCTTGGGTTACAAACAAAATAAAAATGCCTGTTGTGGTGGTACACTCCTCCAATCTCAGCACTTGGGAAGCAGAGCCACACTGGTCTCTGCTTGAGTTTAATGCCAGCCTGG